AAATGTTGAGGTTGTTCGTAAGAAATTGCTAACCGAATTTAAGAATTTATGGGAGGCAGATCGTTAATGAGGCAAGCGTTAATCGAGGACCACTGTATACAGTTGTACCGCCATCGCAGTTCACTTAACGCGATTTCTCATATACGCGGTGCCTCGCCAGAACCGAACTTTCACTTAACGCGGTTCATCTACTCATATACGCGGTGAAGTATATATTTTTTTTTTATTTAGCTCATAAAATTCATTCAAATTACCCGGCCAGAATATAATATACATTGCTGGAATTCTTACAATATGATGATCATTTTGAATATAAACATCATAGATTTTGCATTAGACATACAAATTTTAGATATAATGTTTACTCTGAGTAAATATGTTATCTTTTGTGCAAAATATATGACATTTATATTCAAAATATTCCTGGTCTTACAAGGAATCCAGCAATATCAATTATATTATCCTAACTTTAGTTTGAGGTATTATTTATTACTAAAAAGGTAAATATTCTGGTTTTCCCACACATCTGGTAGGGAGAGTTGGTGGGGGGTGGGGTATGAATGAATTTTATGAGCTAAACAAATATCTTCAGTTAAAAAAAAAAAAAATAATCTTCACGACACTATCTGTCAATCAGCACTCCTAATTTGCCTCCTTCAACCGGGTCAGTCCTAACCTTACCCCCACCAATCCTCCCTTCAAGAGAAAGGTTGGGTGAAAATTTTTTTTTAACATTTTGTATTAAATAATACCTCAGATTAAAGTTAGGATAATATAATTGACATTGCTGGATTCCTTGTAAGACCAGGAATATTTTGAATATAAATGTCATATATTTTGCACAAAAGAGAACATATCTACTCAGAGTAAACATTTATCTAAAATTTGTATGTCTAATGCAAAATCTATGATGTTTATATTCAAAATGATCATCAAATTATAAGAATTCCAGCAATGTAAATTATATTCTGATCGGGTAATTTGTATGAACTTTATGAGCTAAAACAAATATCTTCAGTTAATAAAAAAAAAAATATTCTTCACAGGGTAACAGATGGTTGGTCGGTCCCTCCCTCCCCCCCACCCCCCACCAACCGTCCCAAGGAGATGTGTGGGAAAACCAGAATATTTACCTTTTTAGTAATAAATAATACCTCAAACTAAAGTTAGGATAATATAATTGACATTGCTGGATTCCTTGTAAGACCAGGAATATTTTGAATACAAATGTCATATATTTTGCACAAAAAATAACATATTTACTCAGAGTAAACATTATATCTAAAATTTGTATGTCTAATGCAAAATCTATGATGTTTATATTCAAAATGATCATCATATTGTAAGAATTCCAGCAATGTAAATTATATTCTGGCCGGGTAATTTGTATGAATTTTATGAGCTAAAACAGGCAGTCAGGCAGGGTGGCGGGTGGGGCAAATCTAAAAATAGCGTCTAGCCACACTCACCGCGTATACGTGGAAAAAACCCGTGTTAAGTGAAAGTTCAGCTCTGCAGCACCTTATACGGTAAAACGACTAAGTGAAAACCGCGTAAGGCGGGGTAATACTGTGTGTGTGTGTATATATATATATATATATATATATATATATATATATATATATATATATATATATATATATATATATATATATATATATATATATATATATATATACAGTCAACCCTCACTTTACGCGGTGCCCTGCCAGAACCCAGGATGCTCACATTCCTTGGTGGGTGTACCCCTTTACACGGGTGAAGTATAATTTTTTTATGCAAAATATATGTTTATAATCAAAATGATCACCAAATTGTAAGAATTCCAGCAATGTAAATTATATTCTGGCCGGGTAATTTGTATGAATTTTATGAGCTAAAATAAAAATCTTCAGTTAATAAAAAAAAAATATATTCTTCACACGGTAACAGATGGTCGGTCGCCGGTCCCTCCCTCCCTCCCCCCACCCCCCCACCAACGTCCCTACTAGATAAATGTGTGGGAATACCAGACTGTTTACCTTTTTAGTAATAAATAATAAATCAGACTAAAGTTAGGATAATATAATTGACATTGCTGGATTCCTTGTAAGACCAGGAATATTTTGAATATAAATATCATATATTTTGCACAAAAGATAACATATTTACTCAGGAGTAAACATTATATCTAAAATTTGTATGTCTAATGCAAAATCTATGATGTTTATATTCAAAATGATCATCAAATTGTAAGAATTCCAGCAATGTAAATTATATTCTGGCCGGATAATTTGTATGAATTTTATGAGCTAAATTAAAAAAAATTATACTTCACCGTGTAAAGGGGTACACCCACCGCGGAATGTGAGCATCCTGGGTTCTGGCAGGGCACCGCGTAAACGCGGAATGTGGGACCGCGTAAAGTGAGGGTTGACTGTATATGGAATTAAATGAAATAGAGACCGGCTGACCCCCAAACTCCACTTGTTCCGACACAATACCTATGTTCTAGTAAAAATAACATCTTAATTTTATGATGGTACATGCACTCAATTAATACTTAAGAGAAATAGAGAAATACAGTCGCCAAGTTAATGTCCATTCAAATAATGGACTCAACTCCCTCCCCCTCTTCTCACACTACACTCGCTGGCTCTTCCCTCTTTGAGAAATTTTGGGGGGAAAACCACTAGATTTTAAGGTATAGTAATAAATAATACCTCAAACTAAAGTTAGGATAATATAATTGACATTGCTGGATTCCTTGTAAGACCAGGAATATTTTGAATATAAATGTCATATATTTTGTACAAAAGATAACATATTTACTCAGAGTACACAAAATACTTACATTAGATCTAAAATTTGTATGTCTAATGCAAAATCTATGATGTTTATATTCAAAATGATCATCAAATTGTAAGAATTCCAGCAATGTAAATTATATTCTGGCCGGATAATTTGTATGAATTTTATGAGCTAAATAAAAAAATTATACTTCACCCGCATAAAGGGGTACACGCACCGCGGAATGTGAGCATTCTGGTTTCGGCTGGGTACCGCGTAAACGTGGAAATGCGGAATGTGGGACCCCGTAAAGCGAGGGTTGACTGTACAGCTTTGCCCTTAAGACAGTGTGTGCATGTAAATGAGTTTCAATAAATGAATAAAGTTACATATATCGAGACAAAAATATTAGTTGAAAAACTATATGTAGACAGAGCTTGGATGGCTAAATTTTAGAATGACCAATAATTTTAATATAAAAATTGTAAAAATATTCAAGAACCAAACCTTCTTGATATTTACTCCACTGGAAACGAATGTAAACATAGAACAGATTACTGTATTACTGTATTACTAGCCAATCAGCTGATCATTTGATGCTCACAAAATAACGTGTTTGTCATAAGGATTTTGTTAATAGATGTTTTGTTCGTTAACCGAATTGAAGATCCTCATGGGAGGAAATTCATTAACCGAAATTTCGTTAATCGAACCATTCGTTAACCGAGGGACCATTGTAATAATAATAATAATAATAATAATAATAATAATAATAATAATAATAATAATAATAACAACAACAATAATAATTCATAGTACAGTAAATAAAATTTATAATACAAAATACAAAATTATAAATAAAATAATAAAATAATAATAATGATTAATAATAATAATAATAATAAAGAACCATAAAGAAATAAAAAAAAAAAAAAAATATCAATAGTGAGAAACAATATATGTATGTTGTGTTGTCAAAGTAAGAGAAAAAATTGAGACCCTGCAATTGTGTGTAAATGAGGCAGAAACTCAGATCAGCAAACTGGGACTTGGTCACAATTTTTGTGATACCATATGGCAGCAGGGTCTACCATTAGACAACACTTATGCTTCCAATATCTTCCCAGACAGTAGTACCTCCCTGTTTGGTAGCTGCCTACTACCAATGTGTGTCTACACACACACACAGACACACATTCACAATAGAGGTAAAGGAAATTACTGTCTCTACAACGAATGGCTCCCTTTCCCAGCCGCAAAAATGCCGGCAACTACCCACAGGCATTCTTGGGTACATCCAGGGTGTCATCCGCGAATAACCGAGAACCGCGAAGTAAAAATACGCAAACTTGGGGGGGCCCCTGTACATAATTTTCTTCAATTCTTTTTTGCTGTGTTACCTGCACACTCTACCCTGTACCCTCGTTAATTCAGATTTTGGCTTAATTCGTATGTTTTTTATTTGTATTTTTAAATGACAAACAATTTTAATTCAGAATACCCCATGTAAATCTGAAACAATCATGCAGTTCTGAAAAGTTTATTATTATAATAGGAATATATTGTGAAATAGATTAATGAATTGTAGGAATGCAATATGAATTATATTTAGATAAAAACTATGGTTGGCTATGTAGGCGGTGAGGGGATCCAGACTTTTATTTATTTTATTTTTTTATGAGCCCGCACAGGTCACTGACCCACATTGGGGCCTGAGGGGCTATAATGAAAAAAAAAAAAAAAAAAAAAAAAAAAAAAAAAAAAATAATAATAATAATAATAATAATAATAATAATAACATACACAAAAAAAAAATTAAGAGTGAGAAACAATACTTGTATATGTATGTTGTCTTGTCAAAGTAAGAGAAACTATTGAGACCCTTCAATTGTGTGTAAATTAGGCAGAAAGTCAGATCAACAACCAGGGACTTGGTCACAATTTTTGTGATGCCATATGGTAACAGGGTCTACCATTAGACAACACATTATGCTTCCATTATCTCCCCAGGCGGTAGTACCTCCCAGTTTGGTAGCTGCCTACTACCTATATAAAATAACAGAGTAACACTTGAGACTGTCTACAACTACACTCATCCTCTAATCTGTGTACCTACTATCAGGCACACAGGTTTACTCACATGAAAAAAAAAGCCCCAAATTCTTTGTACTGTGCCTTTATGTACTAATATCCTCCACATAAGATTCAGAACTGATACTGAAGGAACTTACCGAGAGGTGGTTTGATGGGATGGCCAGCTCTGTGTCGGTGGTTGTGATTGGCGAGTCTGGGATCCTATCATCTCTCCACTCTTCTGAATGGCTTGTGTGGCTGTATTTACTAGACTCATCCATTCTTGGTCAACATCTAACCCTCCACTCTGTTCTCGACCCAAGCCCTCCACCACTGCCTTCTCTTCACCAGAAGTGTCCAACCATTGGGGGTTCTTGCTGCAAGTATCATTACAGTCTGTAGCAAAATCATCTCTAAATAAAAACTTCCAGCAAGGTAAACACTGGTGAGAGTCTGAAACTGGATTAGAGTGAATGAGAGAGGGGTTACACAGAAAGCATAAGAACAAATAAGAGCTTGATCCTGAATTCCCATTTTATAGCTGACCCTGGATCAGTCAATTTACAGTATATGTAACTCGAAACATCAGTCTAGTGATTAGATCTAATTATAAACATTAGATTAAACTGTCCCACTATTAAGTGAAGACAAGTCATCAGCCTTACACTATGCCTAGTGCACTCTATGACTCTCACTGTTCATCACCAACATACACACATTATGCCTAGTGCACTCTATGACTCTCACTGTTCATCACCAAAATACACACATTATGCCTAGTGCACTCTATGACTCTCACTTTTCATCACCATCATACACACATTATGCCTAGTGCACTCTATGACTCTCACTGTTCATCACCAACATACACACATTATGCCTAGTGCACTCTATGACTCTCACTGTTCATCACCAACATACACACATTATGCCTAGTGCGCTCTATGACTCTCACTGTTCATCACCAACACACATGTGTGGGAGGCACATGGTGATGTAGCGGAATATGATACAATTTCTTGAAACTCTCGGAACATTTGTTCAAAGAGACAGATTTGAGATAATTTTTTCAGGGACCGGAGATTCCGGCTAAATGGGAGATTGCTATTAGGTACTCGACATAAAAAGTTCACATAAATTCGTGTAGGTAGCGAGGTGCAGCACTCTGATATGATACAGTAGGGTCAGGATATATCGCGAGATAGGGTCCAACGATGTTTGCTATACTGTATATAATTACATGTAATCAATGGGGTAAATAGGGTTAGGTTCTGGAGGCCAAAAAAAAGTGACTAAACTTGAATATCAAGGAACACCAGACTCGGCAGCTGAAACACCATCCTGGGAACACCAGACTCGGTAGCAGACGCCACACTGCCACCCTCACTTGACAATCCCACACCTACATAAACGAACACCAAAAATATTAGTTACAGTATTATATCTTTTCCATTATCTTCACTTCACTTTTCACATCACTTGCAACCCATTTACACTCACCTTAGAAGTCGTAATTTGCAGCATTGTCAGCTGCTTTCTTGTCATTCACTCAAAAAGACTGAGCGGGCGAGCATGAATGCATGAGTGTGCAGTGGCTGCCTCTGGTGAGCAAATAATGCATTTGCTTGCCATGGCGGTACATTTGAAATATTTCCTGCCCGATTTCCCTCGCGAACTAAAAAAAATTATCGTTATATAAAGGAAAATTTTTGATAATTTTGGAAGCCGCAATATAAAAAAAATCTTTATAAAGTCGCGATATATCCCGACCCTACTGTACATATGAAGGCAGACTCAAACACATCCTGTGCGACACCCATGCATACGTTCAACCGCACGTACGAACACACAAACTGTCCGAACTGATGTTGTATCTTCCAGACTTTTTAAAATATCTCTGGTGAATAGAGGGGCTGTCAGAAGTACCTCAAGAATCCCCAAAAAGTGATGACTGGTATATACAGGTTCTACTGTATTTTGATTTTCACCTGTAACAATAGATTTCCTTTGCTTCTTGGTACAGAAGCACCCTTGTCACTTAAGAGGATTGTCCCGCTGAAACCCCGCCCCCCTCTTAATTTGTGGATGGATTTATACAAAATTTTAACACAATAAATAGGCTAATGATTTTTTTTTTTAATCCCTTCCATTATACCAAGATGTCTGAGCAGGTAAGCTCTGTGTGAGCTGACTCAGTTGCTGGTGGTGCTGCTGAGTCCAGTGAAGCTTCCATTTCTCCCAAATTTGGTGGATTCAGCTCATTAGATGATGATGTGTGAGGGCTACAAAGCTAACATGTAAATAAGTGTCTGAATTTTAACACTTTTGGGTTTGGGTAGGTGCTCTTCCGCAAGACATTCGGGGTCTGGCCTGTTACTCACCTCACCATAATTGACTGCACCACACAAGAGATAATTGTACATAATGAGTCATAACAAGCTTGCTATTTGAGATAAAGCTGTGCGAGTAGAACACAAATTTTTGCTTATGCTAAATGATAATGTTTGTACATCATTAGTTCATGTGATAGCAATATGAACCTTATTCCATTATAAAATATACATATTTAATAAAAAAATAGTTATAGAAGAAAAGGTGTGAAAAAGTTTATATATTGCCAGGGAGAGGCATCACACTATCACCATGTGGAGCAATATCTCCGTGCATTTTTTACATTTTCCCATCCTCCACCCTCGTTAGCAACATGAAACATGGTTCAAAACTCTCACAACACTTATGAATAAATTAAATAACTGCGAGGCATGAGAAATCAGCACAAGCCACTTGAAAATTTTTGTGAAATGTGGGTCAATGTTATATCCTGAGTCCTTTAAACACAAAAGGGACACTGGAGAGGTGACCTTGGAGTGCAGTCTACATAATTGCCAGATAGCTCTGACGTGCCAAATGTGAGTCTTGAGTGTCTAATGTTCAGACAAAAATTTGCGTATGAAAACCCTGAAGTGATAATTTAGATCAAATGCAATTTTGCATATAAAACCCCAAGAGTGTTGTTGGCCAAGTGTTGTCAAGTGAATTAATGTGTTGCCAAGTTAAATCTAGTGAACAAACAAAAATTATTGTACGAGAATTTCACCTCACACTGCCGACAGCCACTGGTGTCCACCACCCCCGTTCTCACCCGGTGGAAGGGAAGGAGCTGTTTATGTATAGTAGAACTACACTTTGGTTCATATTTATGTGTTTCTGTATTTTTTTCTGTATAATGTACAATGTTTAGTATCTATAAATTTAGTTTTGAAAAAGTTAATGCATGCAGTATTTTTTCGACTCTGGATCCAAACTATTTATTTAAATTATTTGAATTATAATTTGTGATTTGATAATTCTCTGGCTGAGTGCAAAAGGACCAATGTCCAAAATAGTCTATTTTGACTTTGGTCCATGGAACATTACTTTAAGTGAAGTACTTTTTAGTGCAATCAGACCCAGTATCTATCTCCATTGGTTTTGTGAGTAGAGAAGGTGTCTTGGGCGAGTGTCATACCAAATCTTTACTTTTGTGAGAACAAGAAGGGCCAATCTTAACAACAAAGGAAGGGCAAGGCAGATTAAAAGGTTCACAGGGTACAATCTGAACAAAATATACAAGTTAAAATTGGAAGGACCTCCTGGATCTCCTTCCTTATAGATCACTCTTCTACAAAATTGTAAAGAGGGATGACTCAGAGTGATGGTGATAATTATGATGAACCACAGGAGATAGAGATTCAAGACATGTCTTATAGCTAATGGAAGCTTGTTAGTACTGATATACCACAGGTTATTGAACAGTTTATCATGTTCTAACTGATTATTTTTTTTTACGAAAATATCAAATTTGTGTCCATTTCCTACATTATGAATATTTGCAACATTCAAGAACAAAATCATTGTTACAGAGTGTTAGTTGTAAAAATGGCCAGTGTGTCCTGTTGTACTCAAAACTGCTTCTCACCTTATTGCAAAATGGGTCAAAGTCATTTGAATGATATTTGTATGGCACTTCCCATTTCCACTAGGGACCTCCTATTAACACAATTTCTCCACTAGTGGGGCTTCCATCTGCATTTGTTTTGTAAAATTATAATGTATTTATAGGCTGATTTTATAATACCTGTAAAAATTTAAATCTTCCTTTGCCTCTCCTGAAAAATTGGATTTGTTTAACTTTGGTCCTTTTTGCACTCAGCCAGAGAATTAATGATGTCTTCTGGAACCTTCCCTCAAATTATCGCATTCCATTGTAGCATAGAAACAAAACAAAATTGTACAAATGCTTATTAACCGAGGAATACCAGTGGCAGTTTATATGAACTCTGCAACCTATTCGACATTTACCTCTCTGAGACAGGAGGACATATTGTTTGGTCTGGTGGGTGTGCCTGTCCTCCAGAACGTAAATCTGCAGAAGCCACAACAGTTTGATCAGCTCGTTGGTCACTTGTTGTGGCTGGACTGGAAGTGGATGAATTTGATATAACAGTTGCTGGTCGAGCAGTCAAAACGACTACCTCCGCCACCTCCGTTTGTGATGGGATATTTTGGTTTCCATCTGGGGAGTTTTGCCCATGAGCTGAAACAGAGACTACCGACGAATGTTGAAGACTTGAAGCAACAGGAAAGGTGCGATAACTGATACCTGATGCTTGAGATACGGCTGTTCCCTGGGACTGAGTAGAGGATCCCTTATTAGGATTGTTCAAATGTAACTGAGATGGGTTGGGTCTTTCTCCACTGGCATTGGCTCCACCAGACTTGACCGAAGAGCGGTCCAGAGAACTGTTATTACTTCGACTCCCCTGTGATGTAGACACAATGCCTGCAGAAATTCCCAAGCTATAAGCTCTTGGTCGTTCTGAACTCTCTCGAGACGCTAATGACTCGGTATCTGATATATAGTCTGGATTGATGAGCCGGAATAACTCCTCCTGCAAACTGGATGAACCAAGATTAGCTGAGTTACGTTGGCTGTTCTTTCTAGGGGTGGCAGCCTGCCTCAAACGAGCCTCAGCAGCAACAGTTCTGGGTGACTGGTTCCTGGAAGATGTTGAAGAAGGTGTTGTATTTCCGCCTTTGATTTGTCGTTTGGTGTGAGGAGAACCACTACTGCCTGACAGCTCATCTGCAAAAATAAATATAAAATGTACACAAACATAATATTAACATGTATATAAACACATGCACAATAAAAAACTTATTTCAGATGTATTTATGGGAATCAGATCAATAAAATAAAAGTCTACAGGAAAGGTAAATATGAGCTTGCAGTCTATCTGCTATTGAAGTCTCTAAATTTCAACCACAGACACTAAATGATTAGATAACAACCATTTATTTTTTGGTAAAGTGAAAGATAAATTCTTTCATTTCAATATTATAATTTGGATATGTCATTTGGAAAACCTTTAAAATCTACTGTGTAATTTGACAGTTACATAGAGGAGGATAACAATACTTCTACTCTTTCTTTTTTCTATGGAATGAATGAAGAGCAAAAACTAGGAAAGGAAAATAGTATTAAAACTACAGTAGTTAAGGCAATACCCTGCTGGATAAGGCCTCCCCAGCACTTTGAGGAATGCAAGAGGTTAATCCCTTAAGTATAAGGGGTCTCTCTCTGCTGAATAAAATTGTCTGATGTTAGCCATATAAAATGTTAAAAGTGGCATCTAGTAGTGAAGGGGTTACTGTCCCATATAGTACAATCAAATTAAGGAATTGCACTTCATTCTTTCTAACACTCATATAGTCAGTGGTGGGCACAGCTAAGCGAAAAGTTAGCTTTGCTAACCGCTAATCTGCTAACTAAAAAGTTAACTTCGCTAACGCTAAACCGCTAAAAAAATTAGCGGAAGCTAATGCTAACCGTTAACATTTATTATATGAATTTAGCTTCGTTTTTTTTTTTTTTGGCTCTAAAACCCTTAAAAACAGACCTAAAGAGCTGAAATTTTCATATGTTGTCTTGTAGCTTAGACATAGAGCTTTCCAAAAAGGTATAGCATGCCAAGATCAGATGATGATCAAGGTGTACACAAATAATTAAATAAACAAATGAAATTAAACATTAGTTTACATTCAAGTTTCAACATACACTTTATAATCTTTATTTACTGTACGAAAAGACGGAAAGTATTAAACGAATCCAAAAACTATAGTACTGTATAGCATAGGTAGCAAATAGCATCATGCCAAGATCAGATGATGATCAACTTATCGAAGGTGTACACTGTACACAATTTCACAAATAATTAATTTGCATTCTCATACAACCTATCGACCTTATTCATTATTCATGTAAATACAGTGACCCCTCGTTTAACGAACTCAATCCGTTCCAGAAGGTCGTTCGTTAACCGAAACCATTGTTTCAATGGGTTTTTTGGTAATTGGTTCCAGCTCACCGAAAATTTCCTAAATTCAACAAAAATGGTAGAAAAGTTCATTTACTTTGAGGTGTGTATGTAGAAGGCTCCTGGATGATGATGATGGGAATTAGAATGGGGGTGGAGGAGAAGGAATAAGAGAAAGCATTGGGGTGGAAGAGAAGTCACCCCATGGCACCATTTCACCCATAAAATTTTAGCTATCTTGGTGTATTTCAAGATTATTTTCTTTAAATCAACACTGCACTGCATTATATATTGTCAATATGTAAATTATATTTCAAAATGACCAATAATTTGCCTGGAAACACAGAAAAAAAAGCGTTTAGTTGAAGAGAGTCTCAAGCAAGATGTTACCTCCACTGAAAACAGAGAGAGACTAACGCCTGTCTGGTGTGTTAAAAGGCTGAATGGCAAGCCAGAAACTAGTTTCTTTACCTTTAATTATGTTCAATAATTGTTAAAATGACTAAAAAAGTTAATATTAAACTTTTAAAATTATTGAATAGTATAAACTTCTTGATATTTACTAAAATAGTAAGGAATTTAAGCCCTAAAACCGATTACTGTATTGGCGGACTAATATTACAGCTGGTGGACCGCCAAATGCAAGCGAAAACATGTTGAAGTCGGCTCGTAAAAAACTCGTTAATCGAGGGATTGCTTGTTAACCGAAGTTAAGAATCTTATGGAAGGTAAATCGTTAATCGAAATTGACCCTAGAGCCGATTTATGTATTGGCTGACTAATACTACAGCTGGTTGCCCGGTCAGTGCAAGCGAAAACATGTTGAGGTCGGTTCGTAAGAAATTCGTTAACCGAATTTTTGTTCGTTAACCGAATTGAAGATCCTTATGGAAGGCAGTTCGTTAACCGAGGCGTTCGTTAAACGAGGGGCCACTGTATGCAATACCAACCACATACACATTATACCAGTGCATTTTTATATAACTTATTGTTGGTCTGAGTCATTATACCAGTGCATTTTTATATAACTTATTGTTGGTCTGAGTCATTATACCAGTGCATTTTTATATAACTTATTGTTGGTCTTAGTCATGTAAATAAAAAGAAAACTCTAAACTTTAATGAAAAGTAAGTTTTTAGAAAATTTTGTTGGGCACACACCTTGGATGACATCCTGGTTATGAACTTATGCAGTAGTTAGCATAACCAAATATATTGACACAAAAAAATCCAAATTAAATTAACAAATAAATGAGAAATGAAATTATACATTACTGTATAGTTTTCAATTACATTCTATGATTCAACATACACTGACAGTCTTTATTTACTGTAAAAAAAGTATTAAACTTTAATAATCGAAAAAATTCCATTCGCTCAGCTGCTGCAGCGCGGCGTCGACAAATCACATCATGTCAGATTTACACGTACTAACACGCAGTCAGCCAAGCGTGCCTGATTGGCTGTTGGAGACACGCTTTGCGGCGTCACACGCTTACAACAGACAGGAACAAACATGTATAAATTTTGTTAGGGAACTTAAAGTTACCGGAACTAAATTTAGCGGAAGCTAATTGGTCCGCTAATGGTTTCCAAAGTTAGCGAAAACGCTAATCCGCTAACGAGAAAGTTAGCTTCGCTAATTAGCAGTTAGCGGAACCGTGCCCACCACTGCATATAGTCTAACAACCCTAATCTCCTCCAAGTATACTGTACTTAGAAATGTCTTTTTCAGTCAAGTATCCCCCCCCTCTCAATTCATACTTCTATCAGTCTATCCATTTCCATTCTTCCCTGGCACACGATATTTCTCCCCTATCTTTAACTCTTACATTTAAATTCCCAAACACTATCATTCAATATTTCAACACTAAAACTTTCAACATAATACTCTATTAAGGTCTATTCGTAGAATCTCTCTCCTTCCCCCCATCTCATACCCTGGTGCATATTTTACACAACAACCTACCTTTCTCTCTACAGTTGTACCCCACTTAACGCGGTCAATTGAACCCAGAGGGTCCCGCGTTAAGTGAAATCCGCGTTAAGTGAACAACAGAACATATGGGATTAATTCCAATAGAAACCGGCCCGACCCCCAAACTCCACTTTTTGAAGGCACATACCTATGTTGTAGTAAAAATAACATCTTAATTTTATGATGGTACATGCACACAATTAATACTTAAGAGAAATAGAGAAATACAGTCGCCAAGTTAATGTCCATTCAAATAATGGACTCAACTACCTCCCCCTCTCACACTACACTGCCGGCTCTTCTCTCTCAGAGAAATTTTTGGGGGAAAACCACTAAATTTTAATAAATAATACCTCAAACTAAAGTTAGGATAATACAATTGACATTGCTGGATTCCTTGTAAGACCAGGAATATTTTTAATATAAATGTCATATATTTTGCACAAAAGATAACATAGTTACCTAGAGAAAAATTTTTATCTAAAATTTGTATGTTTAATGCAAAATATATGATGTTTATATTCAAAATGATCACCAAATTATAAGAATTCCAGCAATGTAAATTATATTCTGACCGGGTAATTTGTATGAATTTTATGAGCTAAAACAAATATCTTCAGTTAATAAAAAAAAAATAATCTTCATAACACTATCTGTCAATCAAAGTACCCCACCTTGCCTCCCCCCCTCTTCCAACCGCGCGGTCAGTCCCAACCCTCCCCCCCCACCCCCCACCAATCCTCCCTTCCAGGGTTTTTAACATTTAGTATTAAATAATACCTCAGATTAAAGTTAGGATAATATAATTGACATTGCTGGATTCCTTGTAAGACCAGGAATATTTTGAATACAAATGTCATATATTTTGCACAAAAGATAACATAGTTAATTTGAGAAAATTTTTTATCTAAAATTTGTATGTCTAATGCAAAAATATGATGTTTATATTCAAAATGATCATCAAATTATAAGAATTCCAGCAATGTAAATTATATTCAGACCGGGTAATTTGTATGAATTTTATGAGCTAAAACAGGCAGTCAGGCAGGGTGGGGCAAATCTAAAAATAGCGTCTCGAGCCGGACACTCACCGCGTATATGTGGAAAAAATCCGTGTTAAGTGAAAGTTCAGCTCTGGCGAGGCACCGCGTATATGATAAAACGCGTTAAGTGAAACCGCGTTAGGCGGGGTAATACTGTACTTATAATGTGATCCATAACATCCTGTAACCGAGTCCCTTAGCTTATGAAATAGCTGCAGATCTAATCACTCACCAACACTCCTACACCCTCTTTTGTTCTTACTCTCTCAGACACTCCTGACATAACTCTCTTCACTTGTCCCCAACTCACCTCTACTCTGCCCTTACCTTTATATTTTCAGCCTCTATTTCCTCATTACTGTACAGTACTGTACTCAGATTACATCCACAATTTTAATTGTGGGAGGCAGGGTGGTTGGGTGGTAGACTGAGCGTCCCCTCCCTCCCTTGTTCCTGAACTGAGCGCACCTCTGACCTCATTAATACTACATTATGCAATTTCACCATAATTTCCACATTATTTAGGTTCATTTGTTACTTGGTTAATAAACCATTATTGTAAAAAATAAAATAAAATCAACTTCAGGTGAGTTATTGTGAGGTATAAAATTCCTGGCTCTTTGTTGACATAGTGTGGTCACAGCCAGGCCGGTGCCTGCTGTCTCCATGTTGGTTTATTGGCACAATACAGAGCTACCTTTAGTACAATACCTTTGTTACTGTATTTTTTTTTTATAATTTAAAACTA